CTTCTCTTTAGATTTGGGCGGCCGGCTCTCTGGGAGTTCCTCTGTGGGACAAAGTCCCGGATGGACCTGGACTGTACATATAATTTATTACAGCGGTCACCTGTGTGGGTGTGTGCGGCAGTTTGCTTTGTTTTTTATTGTTTACGGAAGTTTTTGTTCAGTTTGTTGTGATTACTGAGTCATGAATAAAAACTTTATTTAAAACACAAACAACCTCTGAGCATTCGAGCTCTTCTGTTCCATCAGGTATCATGACGGACAAAGGTTTTTAAAAAAAGAGGTGGGGGTTGATATTCTGAGCTTTAAATTCAAAAGAAGAACAAATCCCCCCTCAAATTTGTGAGAAAAAGCTCAAATTTACAAGAAGAAATTTCAGATTTGCGAGAATTAAAAACCTTAAACCAAAAGACAAAAACTGAGATTCATGAAAAGCTTCGGATCTGTGAAAATGAGATTGTGAGAAACACAAAATTAAACAGCGATTTCTTCAGATTATAAAAGGACCGAAGACGTTTCCAGAGTTTTTTCTGCTTTATTTATTTAATACAACATCAGGACTGACATCATGTAGAAAAGAAATCACGGTGAAAACGACACGATTTCGCTCCTCAGCTTCCTGGTTTGCTTCATAAACAAGCAGAACATCAACACATCTTTGTCTCGTGTTCGCTGCAGCGAGACTGATTATTGACGTCATATTTGGACCCATAATACATCATCTGTATGTACATCTCAGAAAAGAGCAGATATAAAATATAGATATTATAACTCTGTGTAAACGGATCAATACTGCACAGAGACGGAAATGGCTTCAGCTTCCAAACATTACAAAAAAAAGACTTAATCCAGACGAGATGTTGAGAAACGGGACGTTAGCGGCCGCGTTTCTGCAGAACCTGCTCGAGAAAAGTCTCATTTTAAGTGTTTTCAGCGTCTCAGCGATCAGAAGCTGCTGACGGTCAGCTCTGCTCTCTATACAACATATCAAAAAGAAACAAAAATAGGTGCTGGGTGTTCGCTCCAAGAGGAACTCTTTCATTATATTTCTATTTGTATATATGCACGCAAATGTTACATACTCTCACCAGTTTATTAGGAGCAGCAAGTTTTAAAAATAAGCAGCACTGAAGTTTTTGCTTAAATTTTTGTTAAAAAAGAAAAAACAGAAGAAACTGCCTGTAAATATTCTCTTCACCTTCTCACAGCGAGACGCTGAACTTGAGATTTGCTGCTTTTCTTTTAAATTTGGATTTTTAGCACCAAACCAGACTTGGACAGTAACGTAACCTTCAACCTTTGCTTCACTTCAGGCGTCCGTTTGTTATTTGGTCGACATCGCCGAGCAGGAGACGTGTGAAGCAGCTCCGGCGTGTTGAAACCTCCACGATGGCAGATTTGCTGCTGTGTTCCTAATAAACTGACCTCCGAGTGTAGTTACTTCAGATCAGTAGAGTCAAAGTGTTTACAGAGAGATGAGAGCAGCTGCTGTGAGCGGCAGAAACTGTGAAATGCTCCTTTAGTCGCAGAGCGCTCAGCTGGAAGTGATGCAGACGTGTAAAGCTGCTTCAGAGCTGCCAAATGTTCATCGCACAGGTTTGGGACCGTTTCTGGTTCCAGATGTAAAAACATTAAAAAAAACAAACATCTACCAGTAAAGTCCAGCCTCTGTTCTTCCTCCCAGTCCCGCCTCTTCCCATCGCCTCAGTCGAGGAAGCGCTGGCAGGCTTTCTTCCAGCGGCAGGCTGTGCACCACTGGTCTCTGTGCTCGATGCCGTAAACCTTACGACACTTTTTGGCCTCGCCGCGAATCCTCCTGAAAAAACACGGAGACAAAAGGGTCAGCTCGAGCCAACATGAGACAGCAGCTGGCCAATCAGACGCCACTGTGTCATGGAGTTTTCCTCCCGTGGCTTCGTTATCAGGGACGTGTT